ACAGTGAGCCGTCAAGCGAGGAGAAAAGTGATAAGGAAAGCGAGGATGTTGACATGAGTATCCCGTTAATAGAAATTTTAAAGAAAAAGAGAAGAGAACATAAAGAGAGTCGTAGTGGTGATGAAAGGGTTGAAAAGAAGAAAGTGGAAGAGACTGGTGAAGTGGTTTCGCTCCTTAAGTCATTGCTTGGTAAAGTGGATAAGTTGGGCAAGAAGTACGAAGACATGGACAAGAAGTACGAAGGCATGGACAGTAGGATGGCATTACTAGAGAACAAGAAAGGCAAGGCGACTGAGCTAGATGCCCAATCAAAGGTGGGCGATCAAGGAGATGGGTCTAAGAACGAAGATCGGGTTCATAGGTCTCTTTTAGTGCAAGTAACTTGTGGAAGTTACTAGAAACTTACTTAACCTTGATGTTAGGACCCTTGTTTTAATTTCTGGAATTTGTTGTCAGTTATGGTACACTTATAAGGATACATTATTATAGACTTATATGCCAACGTTATGGTACATTTAATTTGTGTTATGGTAGACTTATTCGTTAAATTTCAGTTTATTTTTAAAGGCACTTCACTGAAACTTTACATTATTTTCCATATTGAATTTTATTTAGTTATGTTATCATGACAGATGTCATGGACGGTAGAGCAGCAGGTAACATCCCATGCCGAGTTCCCAGTCAACCGTGTTGTTAGAAACCTGAAAGTTGGGGCAAAGGACCTGCGAAATGTGGAAACTCCTGTTGAAAAGAAGGCTATTGTTGAGTTTATCAATATGACTACAGAGAACAATGAAGCCCAAAAGTCTCGAAAACCTGCTGTGGAGAAGAAGGAGGCTAGTGTTGAGTTTGTCGATATGACTAAAGATGTGACAGCTACTCGAAAAGGTAATCATCCCTCTTTGGTGTCATCTTATTCTGACCTACAGGAAGAGAAGGTGAACAAATCATTTGAGGTGCAATAGATAAGATTCTTCAGTTGACAAAGAACGATGATTTCGGTGTCCTCAAATATCGTAAAATAACTCTTGCAAAAACCCAAGTGGACCCATTCATAGGAAGCTCTGGAACTATACTGATCATGTATGGTGAAATTCCTTCTCCTGCTATCTACGGTCCTTTTGCAACGGTAGAAAAGTGTAAACTAGATCGGTTACTTGAGTACGTGAAGACTGATTTGTAAGTTATTTTTCCTTGTTATTGTTAAGTCTTATACAATGTACAATATTTCTTCATCCTTCTCAGCGTTTTACGCTTTCCATTATATAGGGAAAACCCATTCGATAGTAGCCTCGCAGGAGTAGAATTCGACTTGGAATTGATGACACCTAAAGAAATGTGGCCAGTAGACGAGTATGGGTGGTTGAAAACTTCGGTAAGTAAAATTTTTCTTAATAATGGTAGATTTGTTGGTAGTAATGGTAGACATAATGATATGTTGTGGTAGACTTGATAATCTGTTGTGGTAGACTTGATTATCTATTGTGGTAGACTTGATAATCTATTGTCGTAGACTTAATGATCTGTTGTCGTAGACTTGATAATCTGTTGTGGTAGACTTAATGATCTGTTGTGGTAGACTTAATGATTTGTTGTGGTAGACTTGATAATCTGTTGTGGTAGACTTAATGATCTGTTGTGGTAGACTTGATTATCTGTTGTGGTAGACTTAATGATCTGTTGTGGTAGACTTGATTATCTGTTGTGGTAGACTTAAGTATCTGTTGTGGTAGACTTGATTATTTGTTGTGGTAGACTTAAGTATCTGTTGTGGTAGACTTAATTATCTGTTGTGGTAGATTGAAAACTCTTACAACAATTCTTTCTTATTTTGAAGCACATGGTTGCTGGCATGAATGTGCTCCGACAAAGATCTTTAAAAACTCCTACTCCTTTCAAAAGTGAAAGAATTGCTTTTGTCGATCCGTTGTTTGCGAGCCTTTGGTGTCTATAATACAAAAGAGACTTCCTCGGGAAAAAGAAGAGGTGGGTATTTCCTCAGGATATTTCATTTTGTACAATGGTAGAATTCCAGAATTTGCTGCGACGAACAAAAAATGGGTCGAGGATGTCGATATCTTGTACATTCCTCATAATATCCGCAAAGCGCACTGGGTGGCTGTTGTGGTAGACTTGGTAAAGAAAAATGTGAAAGTGTACGATAGCATCTGCAGTGTCTACAGCGACAACTACATCAAAGAAATGTGCAAGCCATATGCAAAGATGATTCTGATGTTACTCAAGCAGGTTGCACCCCCTAATCAAAGGAGGGGAATGAGTGAGCAGGCTTGGAATGTATACATGATCAAAACTATATCACAGAACCACCAATCGGGTGATTGTGGTGTGTATACGCTGAAGTATATAGAGTGTTTAGCTCTTGGACATAGTTTTGATGGCTTGTGTTATTCGAATATGTTTACTATTCGTCTGAAACTTGCAGCTGAGATTATGGAAGAGTTACCAGAAGATGAGGTTGTCCAGTTATCCGATCCAAACCCTCGTGCTACAACAGATGATAAGGTTCCTTTACGGACAGTTTCTGTAGAGTGAAATAGGAGGTGATGGTAGACTTATTTTGACAAGTCCTTTTGTGACCGTAGATTTAATTATTTTGTTAACATACACATTTAAATCTTTACTATAGACTTGTATATTTTGTTGTCGCAGACATATTGACTAAGTGCGCGACATTTAGGTTTAACTATGTGTATACTTTCAAAGGACCATGTTTGTATGTATGACCATGGTAAACTTGGTGGTCTTTCGAAAGTATGGTATACTTATATGAAATTTTTGGTAAGTTAATGATTTGACAATATTTTTTTGCATTCCTAAATTTCACATACTTAAGGTATGTTTGTATGTATGACAGGTTGTTTGAATGATTGTGTTGTAGTAGACTTGGTTAAAATTAATTAATTGTCTTGTTTGAATGTTTAATAGTTGTGGTAGACTTGTTCAGAATGCAAAATTGTGTTGTAGTAGACTTGGCTGAATTTTATTTTTTATTGTCTGCTGTATTCAGAATTTAAAAGTTATGTTGTGGTAGAGCTGTTATTCAGAATTCAATATTTTTTTGTATTCTAAACATGATCGATCGATGGTTTATTACTGTTTAGTTTTTAAACACAAGAACCATGTCATATTGAAAAGATACACATTGTACTACAAACATATTTAAGCTTTGCAAGTCGTACGATTATGGCCGTGTTGGTGACAGTTCGAACACTTGTGTTCTGTTCTAGGCCGCTTCCACTCCATGGCAGTTTCAAATGCACCTTTTCAATCCGTGACAGTTTTGGTCTACCTAGTGGTTCACAAACCATAGGCGGATTACAAACTTTCGAGGCCACATCTTCCGGCGCGGGAATCGTAACATCTCTTGACATAACAGTTTGGGGGTAACCGTTGTACAAGTAGCTCTGATAAACGTATGAATGGGCAAGGCCCACCCGTGAGTTCTTCGATTTTTCGGCTGCTGCAATGGCATGTACACAAGGTATTTTATCCAAGTCAACCCTTCGGCAACTACACTTTTGGCGGTCAAATTGACGACATGCAATGATGATCCGCATGTTACTTGTATCTGATTCTCATTTACTTCTTGGACAGTCCATAACTTAGCATTTTCGACCTTAGCTTGCTTACAATATAACACATAGGTTACAAATAAATCTACCACATGATAAAGTAAATCTACTATGAAATTGCTTACAAATAAATCTACCAGAGGATTAAATAAATCTACCACCAAATTGCTTAGAAACAAATCTACCACGTATTGAAAAATAAATCTACCACCTATTGAAAAATAAATCTACCAGAATCATATA